AGTCCCTTCCTATTCAAGAGCAACAATGTCTTCCTCGATCAAATTAAGTAATTTCTGGCACTCTTTAAATCGATGTCATTTGGCATCAATCCTACTCCCTCCGTTCCGAATTACTTGTCGCAGGTATGGATGTATCTAGATGTATTTTAGTTCTAGATACATCCATTTCTGCGACGAGTAATTTGGAACGGAGGGAGTATCTTCGGAATTGGCTCAACGCGAGGAACTGCGCATTGGTGCCTCCACACACACAGTTTGCGTTCCCTCCTAGCTGCATACCTATCCTTCTGCAGGAGCCCCTGTTCTCCTGATCGCACGCACACCGCCGTTATCTGCCACCAAAGGCTTTTGATCCTCGAGCCTCTGCAGATTCACCTCATGCTGCTGTCACTGACCAACAGCGAGACTCACCTTTAGCTCTCCATCTACTTTGTCAAGATCAACATCACCACCAAGCTCAGGGCCACTGCTGGCGGCAACACCTAGGGTTTCGGGGACGATAGTAGATTTGATACCACGAGTATTGGAAGGTTGCGTGGGGGAATTTTCTGTCTGCTTCTTGTACATACACCAAGATACCTGGACCACTGGGCCGAATCACCCACACTCGCAAACACATTACAGCCAATCACTGCACCATTCAACACTTTGTCGAGCAGTGTCCCGCATATAAAATCTGCTCACTTCAGCTCTTCCAGACTCCAAACACAGCAAAGTAGTCTTTTTAATTGGATAACATGCTGTGCAATGTTATTTATGAAATTTATCCAAGTACTGTATTTATTTCTGTTTACAGAGGGCCGTTCTTAAACTGTCGGCTACAATTTGATTGAGTTGTGTACTTTGTTATTGAGATGATCAGATTGCATCAAGGTATGACGAAAATGAAGGAAATTATGTGCTGTCTAATGTTTATGCATTTTCTTTTCAGGATGGTTTTAAAGTATGTTCAACGTGTTGCAAAACCAATAGTGCAAAGAAGGAGGAAGCAAATAAATGCTCTATTGTTAAAAAGGAGAGCTCTGACAACCATGCTTCCAGTGCATGGACAGATGCAGAGACGCTACTCCTTTTAGAAGGTGTCCTAAAACATGGAGATGACTGGGATCTTATTACCCAGCATGTCCGCACAAAGAATAAAACAGAGTGCATTGCTAGGCTTATTCAGTTGCCTTTTGGTGAACATATGCTGGGCAACATAAATAATGGTAAATCTGATAGTAGGTTCCATACAAACCAAACTACTGATGGCAAAACGAACCACTTTATTGTGAAGGAGGCATCAAGTCAGTCGGCCGATATGGTTGATGGCATGCAGATTGATGGGGAGGAAGATGGTGCTGATAAATTAGTTGAAGACCATCCTTCAAAGCGTCGGCGTTTATGTTCTTCAATAGATGTCACCAGTTCATTAATGGAGCAGGTAATAAAGAAAACATAACATATGAAGAAACTAATTTGTTAAGGATGTACAAAGATTTTTAGCAGATCACTGATATTTGCTAATACTACCTCAGTTAGCACTGCTGACTACCGCGGTGAGCCCAGATGTTGTGGCTGCAGCTGCAGCCGCATCAATTAAAGCATTGGGTAATGAAAATCCCCAAGCAAAGAAGGCATTTCATCTCAGCGAGAAAGAATACCAAGTCAAATCATTCTCTTCTAACCATGTCCAAGAGAGGTAAACATGTGCTGCAACTTGTTATTCTTTTTAGTATTGGTTCAATCTGTTTATCTTAAGATGACATTTTTACAGTGATTGCAATGTTGGCAATAAGGAAGCAGAAATGCATGGACAGACTGTTCCTGGTAGGCCTAATTTTCTTCTCACATTTTGAGCTACTTGTAAATATATTTGATTCCTCGATACTTATCATAGAGAGTTATTTCTTTATCTGTTGATAAACGTTGCTGTCAACAGATATTTTTTTTTCTGATGCATCTTAGGATTAGATTTACCACTCCTAACAAGTTCAGTAGTATTATAATCAGCATGTATGTCCTGAATTTTATAAGCAGCATAATGCCCGTGCATTGGTACGGAACCACAAAAGTAATTGAAGTTGTATTGAATTAGTATTATACGACAACCAATGCACTTGGAATACTGTGAAGAGGAACTCAAGCAAAGCAGGTTAGACTGCACTTGTGTAACAGCAGGGCCATGGGTGCACCGGTTAGTGGAGATTTGGCAAC